TCAAAAAAAAAAAAAAATATATATATATATGGTATTATTGGCTTCTCTGAGTAACTTTTCTACGGAAAAAGGAGGAACAAATATATACAAATTACCGGTTTGTTTACAATCGATCAGCTGATAACGTCCGACCTGTTGTGAGAAGCCTGAGTAAGAAAAAATGCAACTTCGCCCCCGAAATAATAATAAAAAGAAACGCTCCAAGTGTGTACATGTTGCAAGGTATCGCTTCAGAGGTTGTTCTTAAATTGCAATCAGTCGCATTATGGATTCCTGTGAGGGGAGAAGCTGCTGCAATATCTTTTGCGTTTTGTTTAATGCGCTCGGTGAAATTCAAGAGAAAGGTAAGGAGACTCTCACGGTATGTAATAAGGTATTATTGGAAGAGAAACCCCACACCTAATATACAAAATCTGAGCTTATCTGGTAGTAGAACACATCATTCTATGAAAGTTTTCTTCTATAGCAATTTCTTCGCAAATTGAAAATAACGGTAATAATGAACGTATAAAATCCAGGAACCGCTGTAACCTCACGCCTCGAGCGTCGTGACAAAATGTCAAAAAGTCGTTGAAAGCGACGGAAAATCGGACGGATTCGTAGCGGATGACGTAAGCGAGGGAAACCAAATGAGCCAATTGGAGTTGCGCTGGAACGTGACGTGCCCGTAGGCTGTGACGTCCAGCACAGTAGAACCAATCAGATATGAAATTGATCATCATGTGACAATAGAAGCGTGGCTTAGGAGAAGGCAGTTGAAATTTAAATCAGTTCCATCATGGCTAAGCATGTGTCGGATGTGTTAATAATTACTTCGGCTTTATTGCGAGACTATACCCTCCGCTGTCCGATAAGGAACGTCGGATTCGCCCGGGCTAAGCTAGAAATTTCTTCACCTCTTTGCTTCATAATTTGCAATTTGCAGAACTTCGCAAATCTCAATCGCATTGCATAGCGATCACGATTTCCGCTGACAGCGACCAGGACGACCGCGACGATAACAGTAACCCAAAGCCTGGCCCTCTGGACTTAATGCTTAAGGTAAGGTGTGGGTGAAACTGTTACTGGGTCTGGGCTGGGTCTAAGCCCCCTATATAACCTGGAAGTGAGTGGATATATTCTCTCACGTGTATTACTGATATCTGCCGAAATTCCACCCCTATTTTTTTATATGTATTATACCCTCCTCAGCTATCGGGACCGATATCGAAACTGCGCTTCGTTTGCGAAGAGAATGAGAGCTAGATTCGTTCGGAACACGAAGAAAAAATATATCGTTCATCGGAAAATCGATGTGGCGTCTCCTCCAAATTTACTATATATATATATATATATATATATATATATATATATATATATATATATATATATATATATATATATATATGGTATATAGAGTTGGGTAATAAAACCTACATGAAATGATGGAACAATACAAACCAAGACAAAGTTCTTCTATGGCAATATGTGTGCAAATGCTTCCCAAGGCTGCTGTACGTAAAAGAAATGAGAAGTTCCCCCAATTTTGGATAAGTCGCTCATCTTGTTTACATTGCGAGGGTGAATTCTAGACGCATATACTACCACGGGGGTCCAGGAGGCGTAGCCCCCTGGCTAGGCATATATATTACCACGGGGATCCAGAGGGCATAGCCTCCTGACTAGGCATATATTACCACGGGCGCCCAGGGAGCAGGGCCCCTTGCTAGGGAATATATACCACGGTGTTAGGTTATATTGGATGTTGGCTTAAGACGTTTTAACAACCACGGGGGTCCTGTTTTACCCCATAATTTAGCTGATATACCTCATGCCCGCCCCCGCTATCGGGACTATCAAATCAAGATTATCGATGGAGATGGTGATCATATCTCCTCAACGATTCATTTGCACAAGGAACAGTGCCTGGAATCTTTGAAAGCAGTGGATTTCATGCAGAAAAATATCAAAATTGTTTCGAAAGTAACCCACTACCCTCTTCTACATATTGAACATAGTCTTTCTTATTCTTTTCCTGAGACTGCATAAAGTATTCTGGAGCGATATGATGTTTTTGTAAAATAGCTGTTTGAAACTTACAAAAAACTGTTACCCTTAAAACTAATATAGAAAATGGATCGATTATCAAGAAAGTAGAAAATGGATTACTAGGGGTAACTCCCTTTTTTCCTAGAAAAGAAACGATATTTCTCTCTCTCTCACACACACACACAGATATGTATATGTATGCATGCATATGAGTGTGTGTGTGTGTATGTATATATGTATATATATATATATATATATATATATATATATATATATATATATATATATATATATATATATAAGTGTGTGTGTTCGTGATATCCAGTGGAATCGGTCGGTGGGTGTGACCCTACTTCGCAAACCGCAGGAGTCGCTTCAGGAGAAAGAAGCAGCTGTCTAGCAGATGCTGCCCATGCCCTAAGCAAGCCGACAGGAAGCCAAGGTGATATGTGTATGTGTGTACACACATACATACATATACATACATACACACACATACATACATACATACATACATACATACATACATACATACATACATACATACATACATACATACATACATACATACTTATATACATACATACATACATACATACATACATACATACATACATACATACATACATACATACATACATACATACATACATACATACATACATACATACATACATACATACATACATACATACATACATACATACATACATACATACATACATACATACATACATACATACATACATACATACATACATACATACATACATACATACATACATACATACATACATACATACATACATACATACATACATACATACATACATACATACATACATACAT